GGCGGCGGAGGGGGCTGCTTCTGGCTAAGCCACCGAACTAAGACGGTGGTGGTCTCTCATCGTCGTCATGGTCGTCATCGTCATCATCATCGTCATCATTGTCATCATCGTCGTCATCGTCGTCATCATTGTCGTCATCGTCGTCATCATCGTCATCATCGTCGTCGTCATCATCGTCGTCATCGTCATCATCATCGTCGTCGTCATCGTCGTCATCATCATCATCGTCGTCGTCATCATCGTCGTCGTCGCCATTATCGCGCGGCGCTTTCCGAAGCGCTTCTGCGGCCGTCTGGAACGCTCTTCCCTTCCGATATTCTGGAAGCCGCTGGGAGCTACGCGCTCCAGAACTGATGTTTGCGTTTAGTTTGCTGTTTCTCGCCCCTCCCACCCCGCGCCCAGCACCTCCGATTAGCACGGTCGGCTACGTACGGTGCGAAAGACGTTCAACACACACACAGGGAGGTAACCAACAGCGAAACAAGAGTTACGGTGCACGGTGCTCCTGCAGGAATCCCACGGAGCGTTGCTGAGCGCGCCACGTCCCACAGACTCGCTCCTCACTGCTCCACCATCACGTCCCACAGACTCGCTCCTCACTGCTCCACCATCACATCCCACAGACTCGCTCCTCACTGCTCCACCATCACATCCCACAGACTCGCTCCCCACTACTCCACCATCACGTCCCACAGACTCGCTCCTCACTGCTCCACCATCACGTCCCACAGACTCGCTCCTCACTGCTCCACCATCACGTCCCACAGACTCGCTCCTCACTGCTCCACCATCACGTCCCACAGACTCGCTCCTCACTGCTCCACCATCACGTCCCACAGACTCGCTCCTCACTGCTCCACCATCACGTCCCCACAGACTCGCTCCTCACTGCTCCACCATCACATCCCACAGACTCGCTCCTCACTGCTCCACCATCACATCCCACAGACTCGCTCCTCACTGCTCCACCATCACATCCCACAGACTCGCTCCTCACTGCTCCACCATCACGTCCCACAGACTCGCTCTTCACTGCTCCACCATCACGTCCCACAGACTCGCTCCTCACTGCTCCACCATCACGTCCCACAGACTCGTTCCCCACTGCTCCACCATCACGTCCCACAGACTCGCTCCCCACTGCTCCACCATCACGTCCCACAGACTCGCTCCTCACTGCTCCACCATCACGTCCCACAGACTCGCTCCTCACTGCTCCACCATCACGTCCCACAGACTCGCTCCCCACTACTCCACCATCACGTCCCACAGACTCGCTCCTCACTGCTCCACCATCACATCCCACAGACTCGCTCCTCACTGCTCCACCATCACATCCCACAGACTCGCTCCCCATTGCTCCACCATCACGTCCCACAGACTCGCTCCTCACTGCTCCACCATCACATCCCACAGACTCGCTCCTCACTGCTCCACCATCACATCCCACAGACTCGCTCCTCACTGCTCCACCATCACGTCCCACAGACTCGCTCTTCACTGCTCCACCATCACGTCCCACAGACTCGCTCCTCACTGCTCCACCATCACGTCCCACAGACTCGTTCCCCACTGCTCCACCATCACGTCCCACAGACTCGCTCCTCACTGCTCCACCATCACGTCCCACAGACTCGCTCCTCACTGCTCCACCATCACGTCCCACAGACTCGCTCCTCACTGCTCCACCATCACGTCCCACAGACTCGCTCCCCACTACTCCACCATCACGTCCCACAGACTCGCTCCTCACTGCTCCACCATCACATCCCACAGACTCGCTCCACACTGCTCCACCATCACATCCCACAGACTCGCTCCCCATTGCTCCCCCATCACGTCCCACAGACTCGCTCCTCACTGCTCCACCATCACGTCCCACAGACTCGCTCCTCACTGCTCCACCATCACGTCCCACAGACTCGCTCCCCATTGCTCCACCATCACGTCCCACAGACTCGCTCATCACTGCTCCACCATCACGTCCCACAGACTCGCTCCCCATTGCTCCACCATCACATCCCACAGACTCGCTCTTCACTGCTCCACCATCACGTCCCACAGACTCGCTCCTCATTGCTCCACCATCACATCCCACAGACTCGCTCCTCACTGCTCCACCATCACATCCCACAGACTCGCTCCTCACTGCTCCACCATCACATCCCACAGACTCGCTCCTCACTGCTCCACCATCACGTCCCACAGACTCGCTCCCCACTACTCCACCATCACGTCCCACAGACTCGCTCCTCACTGCTCCACCATCACATCCCACAGACTCGCTCCTCACTGCTCCACCATCACGTCCCACAGACTCGCTCCTCACTGCTCCACCATCACGTCCCACAGACTCGCTCCCCACTACTCCACCATCACGTCCACAGACTCGCTCCTCACTGCTCCACCATCACATCCCACAGACTCGCTCCTCACTGCTCCACCATCACATCCCACAGACTCGCTCCCCATTGCTCCACCATCACGTCCCACAGACTCGCTCCTCACTGCTCCACCATCACGTCCCACAGACTCGCTCCTCACTGCTCCCCCATCACGTCCCACAGACTCGCTCCCCATTGCTCCACCATCACGTCCCACAGACTCGCTCTTCACTGCTCCACCATCACGTCCCACAGACTCGCTCCCCATTGCTCCACCATCACATCCCACAGACTCGCTCTTCACTGCTCCACCATCACGTCCCACAGACTCGCTCCTCATTGCTCCACCATCACATCCCACAGACTCGCTCCTCACTGCTCCACCATCACTTCCCACAGACTCGCTCCTCACTGCTCCACCATCACATCCCACAGACTCGCTCCTCACTGCTCCACCATCACGTCCCACAGACTCGCTCCCCACTACTCCACCATCACGTCCCACAGACTCGCTCCTCACTGCTCCACCATCACATCCACAGACTCGCTCCTCACTGCTCCACCATCACGTCCCACAGACTCGCTCCCCACTACTCCACCATCACGTCCCACAGACTCGCTCCTCACTGCTCCACCATCACATCCCACAGACTCGCTCCTCACTGCTCCACCATCACGTCCCACAGACTCGCTCCTCACTGCCTCCACCATCACGTCCCACAGACTCGCTCCTCACTGCTCCACCATCACGTCCCACAGACTCGCTCCTCACTGCTCCACCATCACGTCCCACAGACTCGCTCCTCACTGCTCCACCATCACGTCCACAGACTCGCTCCCCACTGCTCCACCATCACGTCCCACAGACTCGCTCCCCATTGCTCCACCATCACGTCCCACAGACTCGCTCCTCACTGCTCCACCATCACGTCCCACAGACTCGCTCCTCACTGCTCCACCATCACGTCCCACAGACTCGCTCCCATTGCTCCACCATCACGTCCCACAGACTCGCTCTTCACTGCTCCACCATCACGTCCCACAGACTCGCTCCCCATTGCTCCACCATCACATCCCACAGACTCGCTCTTCACTGCTCCACCATCACGTCCCACAGACTCGCTCCTCATTGCTCCACCATCACATCCCACAGACTCGCTCCTCACTGCTCACCCATCACATCCCACAGACTCGCTCCTCACTGCTCCACCATCACATCCCACAGACTCGCTCCTCACTGCTCCACCATCACGTCCCACAGGACTCGCTCCCCACTACTCCACCATCACGTCCCACAGACTCGCTCCTCACTGCTCCCACCATCACATCCCACAGACTCGCTCCTCACTGCTCCACCATCACGTCCCACAGACTCGCTCCCCCACTACTCCACAATCACGTCCCACAGACTCGCTCCTCACTGCTCCACCATCACATCCCACAGACTCGCTCCTCACTGCTCCACCATCACGTCCCACAGACTCGCTCCTCACTGCTCCACCATCACGTCCCACAGACTCGCTCCTCACTGCTCCACCATCACGTCCCCACAGACTCGCTCCTCACTGCTCCACCATCACGTCCCACAGACTCGCTCCTCACTGCTCCACCATCACGTCCCACAGACTCGCTCCTCACTGCTCCACCATCACAGTCCCACATGACTCGCTCCTCACTGCTCCACCATCACGTCCCACAGACTCGCTCCTCACTGCTCCACCATCACGTCCCACAGACTCGCTCCTCACTGCTCCACCCTCACGTCCCACAGACTCGCTCCTCACTGCTCCACCATCACGTCCCACAGACTCGCTCCTCACTGCTCCACCATCACGTCCCACAGACTCGCTCACTCACTGCTCCACCATCACATCCCACAGACTCGCTCCTCACTGCTCCACCATCACGTCCCACAGACTCGCTCCTCACTGCTCCACCATCACGTCCCACAGACTCGCTCCTCACTGCTCCACCATCACGTCCCACAGACTCGCTCCTCACTGCTCCACCATCACATCCCACAGACTCGCTCCTCACTGCTCCACCTGACGATGAATGGCGACGGCTCCCTCGAGTCCGATGAACAGGAGACAGAACTCCACCCCCCCAACCGCCTCCCCCCCACCACCTGCCTCCCCCCCCACCACCATGCTGCCCACCACTCCACCATGCTGCCCCTCCCCACCAATGCTGCCAACCCCCCCACTATGCCGCCCCACCCCGCCCCCCTACCATGCTGCCCCCCCCCACCATGCTGACCCCCCCACCACCACCCTGCTGCCCCCAAACCACTATGTTGCTCCCCTACAATAATGCCCTCCACCACGCTGCCCTTCCCACGCTGCCCTTCCCCCCCACCACGCTGCCCTTGCCCCCCACCACGCTACCCCCCCCCACCACGCTGCCCCCCCCCCCACCACGCTGCCCTTGCCCCCCACCACGCTGCCCCCCCCACCACTCTGCCCCCCCCTCACCACGCTGCCCCCCCCCCCCCACCCATTACCGCCCTCTCCACCAACCCCATCGCAGCAGCTCACCCTCGCCCGCCCGCCAACCCACCGCTGCCCTTCCTAACCCCAAACACCACTTGCCCGCCCCCCCCCCCGTCCTTTCCAGTTGTTGGGTGGGGTGGGGGGCAACGCTGCCCCCCTCCCCTTCCCCCCCCCTTTAGCAGAGCGCCTCGGGCCCGAACTGGTAGGTGAGCTTCCGCTTCACTTTGCGCACGCGTCCCGTCTTGCTGTAGTTGCGCAGCGCGCGCGCCATCTTCTGGTACGTCATCGCCTTGCGGTTGCCCTTCCGGTGCCCCCACGCCTGAGCCAGCTCCTCCTTGTGCCGCGACGAGAAGGCGAACACTCCCTCGTGGATACTCACCTGGCGGGGGGGGGGGGGGTGGTGAGTGGTGGTGAGTGGTGGGTGAGTGGTGGTGGTGAGTGGTGGTGGTGAGTGGTGGTGAGTGGTGGTGGTGAGTGGTGGTGGTGGTGAGTGGTGGTGGTGGTGGTGAGTGGTGGTGATGGGTGGTAGTGGGTGAGTGGTGGTGGTGAGTGGTGGTGGGTGAGTGGTGGTGGGTGAGTGGTGGTGGTGGTGAGTGGTGATGGGTGAGTGGTGGTGGTGAGGGGTGGTGGTGGGTGAGTGATGGTGGTGAGTGGTGGTGGTGAGTGGTGGTGGGTGAGTGGTGGTGGTGATTGGTGGTGAGTGGTGGTGGTGAGTGGTGGTGAGTGGTGGTGGTGGTGGTGAGTGGTGGTGGTGGTGAGTGGTGGTGGTGAGTGGTGGTGGTGAGTGGTGGTGAGTGGTGGTGAATGGTGGTGAGTGGTGGTGGTGAGTGGTGGTGGTGAGTGGTGGTGAGTGGTGGTGGTGGTGAGTGGTGGTGGTGAGTGGTGGTGAGTGGTGGTGGTGAGTGGTGGTGGTGAGTGGTGGTGAGTGGTGGTGGTGAGTGGTGGTGGTGGTGAGTGGTGGTGGTGGTGGTGAGTGGTGGTGATGGGTGGTAGTGGGTGAGTGGTGGTGGTGAGTGGTGGTGGGTGAGTGGTGGTGGGTGAGTGGTGGTGGTGGTGAGTGGTGATGGGTGAGTGGTGGTGGTGAGTGGTGGTGGTGGGTGAGTGATGGTGGTGAGTGGTGGTGGTGAGTGGTGGTGGGTGAGTGGTGGTGGTGAATGGTGGTGAGTGGTGGTGGTGAGTGGTGGTGAGTGGTGGTGGTGGTGGTGAGTGGTGGTGGTGGTGAGTGGTGGTGGTGAGTGGTGGTGGTGAGTGGTGGTGAGTGGTGGTGAATGGTGAGTGGTGGTGGTGAGTGGTGGTGGTGAGTGGTGGTGAGTGGTGGTGGTGGTGAGTGGTGGTGGTGAGTGGTGGTGAGTGGTGGTGGTGAGTGGTGGTGGTGAGTGGTGGTGGTGAGTGGTGGTGGTGAGTGGTGGTGAGTGGTGGTGGTGAGTGGTGGTGGTGAGTGGTGGTGGTGAGTGGTGGTGAGTGGTGAGTGGTGGTGGTGGTGAGTGGTGGTGGTGGTGAGTGGTGGTGGTGAGTGGTGGTGGTGGTGAGTGGTGGTGGTGGTGAGTGGTGGTGGTGAGTGGTGGTGGTGAGTGGTGGTGGTGGTGAGTGGTGGTGGTGGTGAGTGGTGGTGGTGAGTGGTGAGTGGTGGTGGTGAGTGGTGGTGTTGAGTGGTGAGTGGTGGTGAGTGGTGGTGGTGAGTGGTGGTGGTGAGTGGTGGTGGTGAGTGGTGGTGAGTGGTGGTGGTGAGTGGTGGTGAGTGGTGAGTGGTGGTGGGTGAGTGGTGGTGAGTGGTGGTGGTGAGTGGTGGTGGTGAGTGGTGGTGGTGAGTGTCGATGTTGTGCTGCGTCTCACCCAGCGCACGGCGTGACGCATGGCGGGGTCGGACAGCGCCTCCAGCAGGAACTCGTAGAGACGGGGGCGACGCGGGGCACGCGGCTCTGTTGGGGCGGGGGGGAGGTCGGGGAGAGAGAGGTCAGGGGGCAGAGGTCAGGGGGAGGTCAGGGGGGGAGAGGTGGGTCGGGGAGAAAGAGGTCAGGGGGAGGTCAGGAGAGAAAGTTCATGGGGGGTCAGGGGGGAGAGGTCAGGGGGAGGTTAGGGAGAGAGGAGAGAAAGGTCAGGAGGAGGTCAGGGGGAGAGGTCAGGGGGAGGTCAGGGGGAGAGAGGTCAGGGTGGGTCAGGGGGGAGAGGTCAGGGGGAGGTTAGGGAAAGAGGAGAGAAAGGTCAGGAGGTCAGGGGGAGAGGTCAGGGGGAGGTCAGGGAGGGAGAAGTGGGTCGGGGAGAGAGAGGTCAGGGGGAGGTCAGGGAGAGAAAGTTCATGGGGGGTCAGGGGGGAGAGGTCAGGGGGAGGTTAGGGAGAGAGGAGAAAAGGTCAGGGGGAGGTCAGGGGGGGGAGGTCAGGGGGAGGTCAGGGGGAGAGAGGTCAGGGTGGGTCAGGGGGGAGAGGTCAGGGGGAGGTTAGGGAGAGAGGAGAGAAAGGTCAGGGGGAGGTCAGGGGGGAGAGGTCAGGGGGAGGTCATGGGGGAGAGGTCGGAGGATGTCAAGGAGAGAGGTTAGAGAGAGAAATGCCAATTGAGCGAGTAGCTGCGCCTATGGAGGCCGGTACGGTAGGTTGCCAGCAACCACGCCCGGCCGCCTTTGTCTCCCCAGTGGCGATGTTTACTACACACCGCACCAGCTACTCATTTGAGGCCGAGTCGACCCAGGGGAGGCCCAGGACCGGCTCAAAATAATCGTCATCGGTGTTGGTAGCCGTGAGCGGGAATCGAACTCGGCGCAGAGCGCTGACCGCTACACTCCCGACACACAACAAAGACAAAGTCCCCCCGTGTAGCCTTAACAGACCGTTGGGGCAAGTTGCTGTTGGCGAAGCAGCGCCTATGAAGGCCGGCACTGTGGCACGCGAGGGGGTGCCACACCACGACGCACGCAACAAGTGACCCCCGGCTCCGCCATCCCCTTCCCCGCACCTCGACCCGGGTGCCGCTGGGACGCTTCGGCTCCGTTGAGGCTTCGCAGCTGAGAGTCGGACAGCAGCAGCTGCTGTTGCTGCTGCTGTTGTTGCTGCTGTTGTTGCTGTTGCTGCTGCTGCTGTTGCGAGCCGGCGGGCAGCAGCCGCTGCGGGTAGTAGCACACGGTGGCGTACGGCGTCGGGGACGACGACGCCGCCGCCGCCGGGGGAGGACGCGCGTCCAGCGCGGCGGGCGGCCCCGGGGAGCCGCGGTGCCCGGGGCTTCGGCGTCCGGACGAGGTGCACGGCGACCCGGCGCGCTCGTCGTCGTCGTCATCGTGACGGTGGTGGTGGTGGTGGTAGTAGAAGGGCGGCGGTTGCGGCGGTGGCGAGCTGGTGGCTGTGACGGTCGCGACGATGATGTTCCCAAATTGCTCGACGGCCCCCCCCGGAGTGCGGTTGTGGCGCGTGCCGTTGATGATGGTGGTGATGATGATGCTGATGCTGCTGCTGTTGTTGTTGATGTTGATGATGGTGGTGGTGGGGTAGCGGCGGCGGTGGCGTTAACGTGGGCGGCGGTGTTGTGTTGGGGTGCTCATGGCTGTGATGATGTTGTTGTTGGTGGTGCTGGTGGTGCTGCTGCTGGTGGTGGTGCTGGTGCTGGTGGTGCTGGTGCTGGTGGTGTTGCTGGTGAGGCGGCGTGGCCCCTGGGCTCGCACGCTCCGCTAACGACGACGCCGCCGGCGACGCCGCCGACGACGACGTCGATGAGGAAGACGTCGGCGGCGGTGCCGTCGAGGTCGCGGCGGCCGGGAAGACGATCTGCTCCTGGAGCAGCGACGCCTCGAACGAGTGGAAGGCTCCCAGGTGGAGGCCCAGCGTGGGGTCGCCGCCGTCCTGAACACCGCCACCACCACCACCATCATCGCCACCACAACCACAACAACAACAAACAAAAAATCAATCGCTCCCCGTGTCGAGACGCACATCGCGCGCGCGCGTGAACGACGCGGCTGGGGCTCAATCTGTTAAGTCAGCCGTCATATTTGGGCTTTGGCGACCAACATTGTCCATAATAGAGGGTCTTTCTTGTTTAAGGGAGTTAGATCGCGTTCTGACAGTATTGGATTTTGATAATAGGGGGGGGGGGGGGGTTCCCCTTTCTGGCAATAAAGCAGTTGAGTTAAGATGTTAAAACACCAAACTGAAACCTTAGCAGGGAATCATGTCTGCATTGACTATACATGCACGCGGTGCATGTTCACCACGTGAATTTCGGCACGCAGAAAAAAAACCCGGTACCCTAGATAATTTGTGTACACGCAGCAGAGGCTTTCGTGACCAAATTTGAATCCACAATAGAGGTTGGGGTTTTTTTTTTTTGGGGGGGGGGGTTGGATCGCGCAAATGTAATTGTGTCGTTAAACCCGCCACCACCCGACACAGCCGGAGATTTCTCCACGACTCCCGGCTGTCCGCCCGATAACGCTGGTTGTTGTAGTTACTGGCGAAACGTCACGAAGCTACGAGTTGATGACGTTGCCGTGGGGGTTTGACTCTCCAACACACAGCCCGTGTGCTGAACGAGTAACACATTTGGCACGTGTTGGTCACGTGGAAGACCATCACCGATCGGCTGCGCGGTCAGGTGGTGGCGGCTTTCACGACACATTTAACGCGATCTAACACATTAACAAAAACGCCTCGATTGTAACACTGCGTAATAAAAATATATAATTTTTGTCCCTGGGTGGTAAGTGTTATTTTCCTAGTTCCTTATGCCTCAAAAGTACAGAAAATGACTATTATCCCCCACAAACTTTGCTTTTGTGACCAGGACAGTGATATTTTGAAATGTACCTATTGTCAATGAGAACACGTGGTGTGCATTTGTGTCATTCCTACACATTAAGTCCTGGTCCCAAAATCAAAGTTTGTGAATAATAATAGCCGTCTTCTGTACTTTTGAGGCATTATTAGAAAATAACGTATTCTTGGTTCTTTCGGTAAAGTCACGTTACCGAAAGAACCAAGAATATGAATCACTGCAGTCACGAAAGCTTTAAATAAAAAAATTGAAACTAGCACTTACTACCCAGGAACAAAAATCGCCTTACGTAGTGTTTATTGAGTCGCCATAGACACGTGCACTAACCTCTACCAATAGTCGGCGCTGGTGCCTCATCTTCCGCAGAATTGCGTCTCACACAGGGTGAGAGCCCACGGAGTAAATTTGTCGGTCATGGCCAGGGTTGCGCAACCAAAGGAACAAGAAGAGCCGCTGCTGTTGTTGTTGTTGTCGAATTCCGTATAAATAACTAACAACAACAAGAGCCGCAATGCACTGTGGGTGAACTACAAGCGACTGCGGTGGCGGTCCTCGTTAAAAGAGCCACAGCCGCACGCGCCTCCTGTGGTGCATGCTGCTGACTCCTGGCCACGGCTAACTGGTGGTGGTAGTAGTGGTGGTAGTGATGGTGGTAGTGGTGGTAGCGGTGTTGGTAGTGGTGGTGGTAGCGGTGTTGGTAGTGGTGGTGGTAGTGGTGGTGGTGGTAGTGATGGTGGTGATAATGGAGGTGGTAGCGGTGGTGGTAGTGATGGTGGTAGTGGTGGTGGTAGTGGTGGTAGTGATGGTGGTAGTGGTGGTGGTAGCGGTGGTGGAAGTGATGGTGGTAGTAGTGATGGTGGTGATGGTGGTGGTAGTAGTGATGGTGGTGATAATGGAGGTGGTAGCGGAGGTGGTAGCGGAGGTGGTAGCAGTGGTGGTAGTGGTGGTAGTAATGGTGGTGGTAGTAGTGATGGTGGTGATAATGGAGGTGGTAGTGGTGGTAGTGGTGTTGGTAGTGGTGGTAGTGATGGTGGTGGTGGTAGTGGTGGTGGTGGTAGTGGTGGTGGTAGTGGTGGTAGTGGTGGTTGTGGTGGTAGTGATGGTGGTGGTAGTAGTGATGGTGGTGATGGTGGTGGTAGTAGTGATGGTGGTGATAATGGAGGTGGTAGCGGAGGTGGTAGCGGAGGTGGTAGCAGTGGTGGTAGTGGTGGTAGTAATGGTGGTGGTAGTAGTGATGGTGGTGATAATGGAGGTGGTAGTGGTGGTGGTAGTGGTGTTGGTAGTGGTGGTAGTGATGGTGGTGGTGGTAGTGGTGGTGGTAGTGGTAGTGATGGTGGTAGTGGTGGTAGTGGTGGTGGTGGTAGTGGTGGTAGTGATGGTGGTGGTAGTAGTGTTGGTGGTGATAATGGAGGTGGTAGCGGAGGTGGTAGCAGTGGTGGTAGTGGTGGTAGTGATGGTGGTGGTAGTAGTGATGGTGGTGATAATGGAGGTGGTAGCGGTGGTGGTAGTGATGGTGGTGGTGGTAGTGGTGGTGGTAGTAGTGATGGTGGTGATAATGGAGGTGGTAGTGGTGGTGGTGGTAGTGGTAGTGGTGTTGGTAGTGATGGTAGTGATGGTGGTAGTGGTGTTGGTAGTGGTGGTAGTGACGGTGGTGGTAGCGGTGGTGGTAGTGATGGTGGTAGTGGTGTTGGTAGTGGTGGTAGTGATGGTAGCGGTGGTGGTAGTGATGGTGGTAGTGGTGTTGGTGGTGGATCGTTGGAGCCCGTTGGCATTCACTGCCATGGACCACAGGGCTCGGTGCATCGGGCAATCCCCTAAAGATTCATGGATTGGGGTTAACTGTAGGGGCGGGGGTTATGGGTTTAAGCTTCAGTCGTCGCTTGGGATTGTGGAGACAGAGAGGGTTGTGGAGACAGAGAGGGTTGTGGAGACAGAGAGGGTCGTGGAGACAGAGGATTGTGGAGAAGAGAGGATTGTGGAGACAGAGAGGGTTGTGGAGACAGAGAGGATTGTGGAGACAGAGAGGGTTGTGGAGACAGAGAGGATTGTGGAGACAGAGAGGGTTGTGGAGACAGAGAGGGTTGTGGAGACAGAGAGGGTTGTGGAGACAGAGAGGGTTGTGGAGACAGAGAGGATGTGGAGACAGAGAGGATTGTGGAGACAAGAGAGGGTTGTGGAGACGGAGAGGATTGTGGAGACAGAGAGGATCGTGGAGACAGAGAGGATTGTGGAGGACAGAGAGGGTTGTGGAGACAGAGAGGGTTGTGGAGACAGAGAGGGTTGTGGAGACAGAGAGGGTCGTGGAGACAGAGAGGGTTGTGGAGACAGAGAGGGTTGTGGAGACAGAGAGGGTCGTGGAGACAGAGGATTGTGGAGAAGAGGGATTGTGGAGACAGAGAGGATTGTGGAGACAGAGAGGATTGTGGAGACAGAGAGGGTTGTGGAGACAGAGAGGGTTGTGGAGACAGAGAGGGTTGTGGAGACAGAGAGGGTTGTGGAGACAGAGAGGGTTGTGGAGACAGAGAGGATCGTGGAGACAGAGAGGGTCGTGGAGACAGAGAGGGTTGTGGAGACAGAGAGGGTTGTGGAGACAGAGAGGGTTGTGGAGACAGAGAGGGTTGTGGAGACAGAGAGGATCGTGGAGACAGAGAGGATTGTGGAGACAGAGAGGGTTGTGGAGACAGAGAGGGTTGTGGAGACAGAGAGGGTTGTGGAGACAGAGAGGATTGTGGAGACAGAGAGGATTGTGGAGACAGAGAGGGTTGTGGAGACAGAGAGGATTGTGGAGACAGAGAGGATCGTGGAGACAGAGAGGATTGTGGAGACAGAGAGGGTGTGGAGACAGAGAGGATTGTGGAGACAGAGAGGGTCGTGGAGACAGAGAGGGTTGTGGAGACAGAGAGGATTGTGGAGACAGAGAGGGTCGTGGAGACAGAGAGGATTGTGGAGACAGAGAGGGTGTGGAGACAGAGGATTGTGGAGACAGAGAGGATCGTTGGAGACAGAGAGGGTTGTGGAGACAGAGAGGGTTGTGGAGACAGAGAGGATTGTGGAGACAGAGAGGGTGTGGAGACAGAGAGGGTTGTGGAGACAGAGAGGATTGTGGAGACAGAGAGGGTCGTGGAGACAGAGAGGATTGTGGAGACAGAGAGGGTTGTGGAGACAGAGGATTGTGGAGACAGAGAGGGTTGTGGAGACAGAGGATTGTGGAGACAGAGAGGGTCGTGGAGACAGAGAGGGTTGTGGAGACAGAGAGGGTCGTGGAGACAGAGAGGGTTGTGGAGACAGAGAGGATCGTGGAGACAGAGAGGGTTGTGGAGACAGAGAGGGTTGTGGAGACAGAGAGGATCGTGGAGACAGAGAGGATTGTGGAGACAGAGAGGGTTGTGGAGACAGAGAGGATTGTGGAGACAGAGAGGGTTGTGGAGACAGAGAGGGTTGTGGAGACAGAGAGGGTTGTGGAGACAGAGAGGGTTGTGGAGACAGAGAGGATTGTGGAGACAGAGAGGATTGTGGAAGACAAGAGAAGGTTGTGGAGACGAGAGGATTGTGGAGACAGAGAGGATTGTGGAGACAGAGAGGGATTGTGGAAGACAGAGAGGGTTGTGGAGACAGAGAGGGTTGTGGAGACAGAGAGGGTTGTGGAGACAGAGAGGGTTCGTGGAGACAGAGAGGGTTGTGGAGACAGAGAGGGTCTGTGGAGACAGGATCGTGGAGACAGAGGATTGTGGAGACAGAGAGGATCGTGGAGACAGAGAGGATCGTGGAGACAGAGAGGATTGTGGAGACAGAGAGGGTTGTGGAGACAGAGAGGGTTGTGGAGACAGAGAGGGTTGTGGAGACAGAGAGGGTTGTGGAGACAGAGAGGGTTGTGGAGACAGGAGAGGTCGTGGAGACAGAGAGGGTTGTGGAGACAGAGAGGGTTGTGGAGACAGAGAGGGTTGTGGAGACAGAGAGGGTTGTGGAGACAGAGAGGGTTGTGGAGACAGAGAGGATTGTGGAGACAGAGAGGATTGTGGAGACAGAGAGGGTTGTGGAGACAGAGAGGGTTGTGGAGACAGAGAGGGTTGTGGAGACAGAGAGGGATTGTGGAGACAGAGAGGATTGTGGAGACAGAGAGAGGTTGTGGTGACAGAGAGGATTGTGGAGACAGAGAGGATCGTGGAGACAGAGAGGATTGTGGAGACAGAGAGGGTTGTGGAGACAGAGAGGATTGTGGAGACAGAGAGGGTCGTGGAGACAGAGAGGGTTGTGGAGACAGAGAGGATTGTGGAGACAGAGAGGGTGTGGAGACAGAGAGGATTGTGGAGACAGAGAGGGTTGTGGAGACAGAGGATTGTGGAGACAGAGAGGGATCGTGAGACAGAGAGGGTTGTGGAGACAGAGAGGGTTGTGGAGACAGAGAGGATTGTGGAGACAGAGAGGGTCGTGGAGACAGAGAGGTTGTGGAGACAGAGAGGGTTGTGGAGACAGAGAGGAGTCGTGGAGACAGAGAGGATTGTGGAGACAGAGAGGATTGTGGAGACAGAGAGGATTGTGGAGACAGAGAGGGTTGTGGAGACAGAGGATTGTGGAGACAGAGAGGGTTCGTGGAGACCAGAGAGGGTTGTGGAGACAGAGAGGGATCTGTGGAGGACAGAGAGGTTGTGGAGACAGAGAGGATCGTGGAGACAGAGAGGGTTGTGGAGACAGAGAGGGTTGTGGAGACAGAGAGGGTTGTGGAGACAGAGAGGGTCGTGGAGACAGAGAGGGTTGTGGAGACAGAGAGGGTTGTGGAGACAGAGAGGGTCGTGGAGACAGAGGATTGTGGAGAAGAGAGGATTGTGGAGACAGAGAGGATTGTGGAGACAGAGAGGATTGTGGAGACAGAGAGGGTTGTGGAGACAGAGAGGGTTGTGGAGACAGAGAGGGTTGTGGAGACAGAGAGGGTTGTGGAGACAGAGAGGGTTGTGGAGACAGGGAGGGTCGTGGAGACAGAGAGGGTCGTGGAGACAGAGAGGGTTGTGGAGACAGAGAGGGTTGTGGAGACAGAGAGGGTTGTGGAGACAGAGAGGGTTGTGGAGACAAAGAGGATCGTGGAGACAGAGAGGATTGTGGAGACAGAGAGGGTTGTGGAGACAGAGAGGGTTGTGGAGACAGAGAGGGTTGTGGAGACAGAGAGGATTGTGGAGACAGAGAGGATTGTGGAGACAGAGAGGGTTGTGGAGACAGAGAGGATTGTGGAGACAGAGAGGATCGTGGAGACAGAGAGGATTGTGGAGACAGAGAGGGTTGTGGAGACAGAGAGGATTGTGGAGACAGAGAGGGTCGTGGAGACAGAGAGGGTTGTGGAGACAGAGAGGATTGTGGAGACAGAGAGGGTCGTGGAGACAGAGAGGATTGTGGAGACAGAGAGGGTTGTGGAGACAGAGGATTGTGGAGACAGAGAGGATCGTGGAGACAGAGAGGGTTGTGGAGACAGAGAGGGTTGTGGAGACAGAGAGGATTGTGGAGACAGAGAGGGTCGTGGAGACAGAGAGGGTTGTGGAGACAGAGAGGATTGTGGAGACAGAGAGGGTCGTGGAGACAGAGAGGATTGTGGAGACAGAGAGGTTGTGGAGACAGAGGATTGTGGAGACAGAGAGGGTTGTGGAGACAGAGGATTGTGGAGACAGAGAGGGTCGTGGAGACAGAGAGGGTTGTGGAGACAGAGAGGGTCGTGGAGACAGAGAGGGTTGTGGAGACAGAGAGGATCGTGGAGACAGAGAGGGTTGTGGAGACAGAGAGGGTTGTGGAGACAGAGAGGGTCGTGGAGACAGAGAGGGTTGTGGAGACAGAGAGGATTGTGGAGACAGAGAGGGTCGTGGAGACAGAGAGGGTCGTGGAGACAGAGAGGGTTGTGGAGACAGAGAGGGTTGTGGAGACAGAGAGGGTTGTGGAGACAGAGAGGGTTGTGGAGACAAAGAGGATCGTGGAGACAGAGAGGGTTGTGGAGACAGAGAGGGTTGTGGAGACAGAGAGGATTGTGGAGACAGAGAGGGTTGTGGAGACAGAGAGGATTGTGGAGACAGAGAGGATTGTGGAGACAGAGAGGATTGTGGAGACAGAGAGGATTGTGGAGACAGAGAGGGTTGTGGAGAGGCAGCTCGCAAGACAGGGATTCTCAAAGTGCGTGTCACGTCCAGGGGTGACTGTCTGCAGGGCGGCCCAAATTGGCCTGGCGCTGCCCACAGCTCCTACAGTCTGCCCCCCCACCACCCTACCCCCCACCCACCCCTAACCCCCCCACCCACTACCCCCCCCACCCCTAACCCCCCCACCCACTACCCCTCCCCCCACCCCCCGTGCCCGTACCGGCAGCGAGCCGTGCAGCTGTGTGAGAGGGTGGGGGCTGGCGAGGGCCGTCCACGAGGGGGGCCCGCAGCTGTAGGGGGACTGGGCCAGGGTCCAGGCGGGGTCCCCCAGGAAGGCCGAGACCCCCGGGTAGAGGGGACCCTCCGACCCCGACAGCACGGGGGTGTCGCTCACTGCTGAGGGGCGGGAGGAGGAGGGGGGGGGGCACAGGGGGAGGGGTCACCCACACGCCCACGTGACACCACCGCGCAAAGGCCGAGCCAGGATTTCAGGTAGAGTGGGGGGGGGGGGGGAACCCCTCCAGCAATGACAAATTATAGAGTTGTTAGTAGGTAATGAGTTAGTAAGTAAGGAGTTAGTAAGTAATGAGTTGTTAGTAATAAGGAGTTAGTAAGTAAGGAGTTGTTAGTAGGTAATGAGTTGTTAGTAATAAGGAGTTAGTAAGTAAGGAGTTGTTAGTAGGTAATGAGTTGTTAGTAGGTAATGAGTTGTTAGTAGGTAATGAGTTGTTAGTAATAAGGAGTTGTTAGTAAGTAATGAGTTGTTAGTAAGGAGTTGTTAGTAATAAGGAGTTGTTAGTAAGTAATGAGTTGTTAGTAGGTAATGAGTTGTTAGTAAGTAAGGAGTTGTTAGTAATAAGGAGTTGTTAGTAATAAGGAGTTGTTAGTAGGTAATGAGTTGTTAGTAATAAGGAGTTGTTAGTAGGTAATGAGTTGTTAGCAAGTAAGGAGTTAGTAAGTAATGAGTTGCTAGTAATAAGTAATGAGTTGTTAGTAATGAGTTGTTAGTAGGTAATGAGTTGTTAGTAGGTAATGAGTTGTTAGTAATAAGGAGTTGTTAGTAGGTAATGAGTTGTTAGTAATAAGGAGTTGTTAGTAGGTAATGAGTTGTTAGTAAGTAAGGAGTTGTTAGTAATAAGGAGTTAGTAATAAGTAAGGAGTTGTTAGTAAGGAGTTGTTAGTAGGTAATGAGTTGTTAGTAATAAGGAGTTGTTAGTAAGGAGTTGTTAGTAGGTAATGAGTTGTTAGTAATAAGGAGTTGTTAGTAATAAGGAGTTAGTAATAAGTAAAGAGTTGTTAGTAAGTAATGAGTGGTTAGTAATTAATGAGTTGTTAGTAATAAGGAGTTGTTAGTAAGTAAGGAGTTAGTAAGTAAGGAGTTGTTAGTAATAAGGAGTTGTTAGTAATAAGTAAGGAGTTGTTAGTAGTAAGGAGTTGTTAGTAATTAAGGAGTTGTTAGTAATAAGAAAGGAGTTGTTAGTAATAAGGAGTTGTTAGTAAGTAAGGAGTTGTTAGTAGGTAAGGAGTTAGTAATAAGAAAGGAGTTGTTAGCAAGTAAGGAGTTAGTAATAAGTAAGGAGTTGTTAGTAAGTAAGGAGTTGTTAGTAAGTAAGGAGTTGTTAGTAGGTAATGAGTTGTTAGTAGTAAGTAAGGAGTTGCTAGTAGTAAGTAATGAGTTAGTAATAAGTAATGAGTTGTTAGTAATAAGGAGTTGTTAGTAATAAGTAAGGAGTTGTTAGTAATAAGTAAGGAGGTGTTAGTAATAAGTAAGGAGTTGTTAGTAGTAAGTAAGGAGTTGTTAGTAATAAGTAAGGAGTTGTTTGTAATAAGTAATGAGTTGTCAGTAAGTAATGAGTTGTTAGTAAGTAAGGAGTTGTTAGTAATAAGTAAGGAGTTAGTAAGTAAGGAGTTGTTAGTAATAAGAAAGGAGTTGTTAGTAACAAGTAAGGAGTTGTTAGTAAGTAAGGAGTTGCTAGTAATAAGTAAGGAGTTGTTAGTAAGTAGTGAGTTGTTAGTGATAAGTAAGGAGTTAGTAAGTAAGGAGTTGTTAGTAATAAAGGAGTTGTTAGTAATAAGTAAGGCGTTGTTAGTAAGTAAGGAGTTGCTAGTAGTAAGTAATGAGTTGTTAGTAAGTGAGGACTTGCCCCTTGATGTTTATCCGACGCGTGTGCGGCGATGGCGAGGTGTCGAGTTCGAACCGCGTGGTGTGATCGGCACCGCGCTCGCTAAAGGTGTCGATGCCTTCAGGCAAGTCGTGGACTCTGTAGACGCAACTGCGCACAATTCTGAGTCACTTATAACCGCTTTGCCGTTACTTATTGCCAATTATTGACCCAGACTATTGTCCTATCATCTCACAGAGTCCTTGGCACGTAATAATCTGCTACACAGTGGCAGCGGGGGTCACAAAATGCCGATTTATTACTAACCCCAATGATCCGATCGAAATTAGGGATTTCGATCGGATCATTGGGGGGGCACGTGCCAACCCCCCCCCCCCCCCCCCCCACTGGCTCCGCCAGTGACACCACGTGGGGATGTCGTCACCTCTAATGACGTCTCTCACCGGATACATATCGTCACGAATACGGGAGCGTCGTCTCAATTGCGTAAGAGCTGTCCGCTATGAATACAAATAAGAACGAGGTTTTTTTTTACCCTTTGTCCCAATACAACAGGAGGTGTAAGTAATGAGTTGTTAGTAAGTAATGAGTTAGTAATGCATCTGCAGAACGTGAAGAACCAGTGGCATCTACATCTACAGAACGTGAAGAACCAGTGACATCTACATCTGCAGAACGTGAAGAACCAGTGGCATCTACATCTGCAGAACGTGAAGAACCAGTGACATCTACATCTGCAGAACGTGAAGAACCAGTGGCATCTACATCTGTAGAACGTGAAGAACCAGTGGCATCTACATCTGTAGAACGTGAAGAACCAGTGGCATCTACATCTGCAGAACGTGAAGAACCAGTGGCATCTACATCTGTAGAACGTGAAGAACCAGTGGCATCTACATCTGTAGAACGCGAAGAACCAGTGGCATCTACATCTGTAGAACGTGAAGAACCAGTGGCATCTACATCTGCAGAACGTGAAGAACCAGTGGCATCTACATCTGCAGAATATGAAGGACCAGTGGCATCTACATCTGTAGAACGTGAAGAACCAGTGACATCTACATCTGTAGAACGCGAAGAACGACGTTAATCAAATGTCATCGAAACGCCGTTAATCAAATGTCATCGAAACTACGATAATTATCACGGGGTGGCAGCGGTGGGTAAGTGGGTGGTGGAGGCGAACGCTGAGAGGCGACGGGATACGAGAGAGAGAGAGAGAGAGGCGGGGCGGGGGGGGGACGATGACGATGAAGCTGCGAGCGACGTGAGAGCGCGCGGGTTCGGGGCGACCCAAGTACGGTGACGACGCAGTTGCGAAACGACGTGAAAAGGAGCCGGACACGTGACAATCTGGCTGTTCCCGTACCGGTAACTCTCCACGCCCGCTTCCTATTAGCGCGAGCGGTTCACACCCTCGCACGCACGCACGCTCAACCTATCTCGCATCGTGCCTAGCCAAGCCGCGCGCGCCGGGGGCCTGCGTGCGTCGGGTCACGGAAGGCGTTGCTGGTTCGCGAAATCCTGAACCCGTCAAGTGGCAAGGTAGCGACAGAGGTGGCAGAAGAGCTCAGCTGGGTTCATTAACCCCCTTTGCTGTGCGGGCATTTGAGTGACGTGCTCCCACCAACCGTAACATCACCCCCCACCCCACCCCCGTATGTGTGGGGGTTGTTACGGGCGCTGTGATTTCCTCCCACGATAGAAATTAAAATATATAAATGTGTCCGTGTTCATCTGTGTTTTGTACGTTGAACTTCTTTCGCACCGTACGTCGCCAGCCGTGCTTATCGGAGGTACAAAATGCTTGCCGCACGTTGCTGGGACACGAAGGACAACGATCTGCGAGCAGTAGGGTCCCGATCTGATGAATGCCTTTCGGCATTGCCATCGAGCCGAGCTGAAGTGGGAGATTTGCCTTCCGCTAAATAATTTGCCTACCATTAAATAACGACAACAGGTACTGCAGTACTGCGAATTAGTCTTTGTGAAGAATGTTAAAAACAAAATAAACTAACACCAATACGTTGCGTGTCGTCCATTTCCTAACACCAACACTACAGATACCACTACTACCACTATCACTACAGATATCACTCCTACACCTATCACTACTACGACTACTACAGCTACCACTACTACAAATATCACTACTACAACTATCACTACTACAACTATCTCTACTACAATTAACACTATTACTGGTAGGAACGAAGTTGTAAACTGAGTGTACCAGCCTGCAATAGATTAATGTGTCCGTCCGTCCGTCCCCTTTCAATACTTTAACGAAGTGAAATCTCGTGCTGTTGGGGTGTAAAATCATCAATAGACAGCGCAGAGACTTGATATGTCTTATTGCACCCAACATTTGGAAGTCACATTATCTCATTTGCGAACTTCGCTTTTGGGGATGTTTTACACAATTTTACGTAACAATGTCATAAAATTGCGCAAAATTCCAATGTTCCTATCAGCCTACCCTGCAGGGACCTGTTAATGAACACTATCACAACTACCATGTCCGCTGTCTCGGCAAGGTTTGTGTCTCTGCCGTTGTCATTGTTTTAAGTTAGTAAGTCACATTGCGTTGCTCTTGCAGGGAACTCGCCAAACAATTACCCACGGATCCATCTCATCCGCAACCCAGCCTTGGTGCACACACTTTGTTGTTCTATCGAGGAAAATAAACTAAAACGATATATTTCGTCAAATACAGTAAAAGCTTGGATTGCGAGTAACTTGGTCTGCGAGTGTTTTGCAAGACGAGCAGCATTTTTAAATACATTATTAATTTGATAAACGAGCGAGGGTCTTGCAATACGAGTAGTAACGTATACGCGCTTTGTCTGCCGAGCGTCACGTGATCACAACTGATATACGAGTGCTTTGATATACGAGTGCTTTGGATTACAAGCACGTTTCCGGAACGAATTATGCTCGCAATCCAAGGTTTTACTGTATAATTTTAACCAGATAAGCCCACACCCAACTGAGCTCTACGTCTCTCTCTCTCTTAGCCCCTCTCTCTGTCTCTCTCTCTGTCCCTCTCTGTCTCTCTGTGTGCCTCTCTCTGTCTCTCTGTGTGTCTCTCTCTGTCTCTCTGTGTGTCTCTCTCTGTCTCTCTCTCTGTCTCTCTCTGTCTCTCTGTGTGCCTCTCTCTGTCTCTCTGTGTGTGTCTGTCTCCCTCTCGCCAACTTCGCCTGTGCTCGGGCGAAGATGGCTGTGTACAGATCGAGGAAAAAGATGCCGCAAGGTGACACTGACGGCTGCTCCGTGCTTCCAGTGTTCAGGGGCCTGCGTGGTGTCACAGGAACGGAGCAAACTCTGCCAGAGCTGCTATCCCCTAGCACCCACCCCCACCCCCCACACGAACGCACACGTAATTCGAGCGGGTGTGTGGGAGGCACGCGAGAAATAAGGCGAGGGAGGGTTGAGTTAAAACCTCGTTCGCATGCGTGTTTACACAGCGCGTTTTACGCAGTGTGTTTCACGTAGCGACGATAGCCACTTGGCGGTGGAACGCGCGAATATTTTCGTCAACCCGGCCGGCGTTTTGCCCGCCGTGCATGTTTGCACAGCGGATTAAAGCCCGAGGTGGGACGCGTGCATATTCATACGGATATTTTTAGCGCGTGCCGTGGTGAGCAGGGAGGGGGGGGCGCGCACACGCAGCTACCCCCGCATTAGTGGTGGTGTACGTGGGGAGTGTGTGGGATAACTCCAGGTGGTGGGGAGCCAGCCACTAGCCATGTCCCACAGAGAGGACGCTGGCGCAGGGAGGCCCGATCACTCGATCGGCGAAAGCCTGGCGAGAAGGGGCGGAGGAGGAGGGAGGGAGAGGAGGAGGAGGAGGGAGGGCGTCAGCCCCCGCACCTGCTCAAGGCGCGGCTCCGGCTGGAGCACGCCACGTGCCACACACACGTGCCGGTGATGTGCAGCGCATCTTCTTCGAACGCTGGGGAGCCGGGCAAGCCCCTCTCTGTACCAGCGTGGACGGCACCACCCCACGTGTTCACCTTCTGAAGCGCTCGCTCGTCACCGTGGCGTGCTCGATGACCACCACCACCACCACAACCACCACCACAACCACCACCACCACCACAACCACCACCACCACGTGGCTTTTCTGTTGAGTTGTGCGCGGCGCATTTAGCGCCACCACAGCGCGTGGATTTGTAGCGTTTGTTTATTTGTGTTGCTGGTGACTTTGTTTATTTGTGTTTCTGGTGACTTTGTGTATTTGTGTTGCTGGTGACTTTGTGTATTTGTGTTGCTGGTGACTTTGTGTATTTGTGTTGCTGGTGACTTTGTGTATTTGTGTTGCTGGTGACTTTGTTTATTTGTGTTGCTGGTGACTTTGTGTATTTGTGTTGCTGGTGACTTTGTGTATTTGTGTTGCTGGTGACTTTGTGTATTTGTGTTGCTGGTGACTTTGTGTATTTGTGTTGCTGGTGACTTTGTGTATTTGTGTTGCTGGTGACTTTGTGTATTTGTGTTGCTGGTGACTTTGTGCATTTGTGTTGCTGGTGACTTTGTTTATTTGTGTTGCTGGTGACTTTGTGTATTTGTGTTGCTGGTGACTTTGTGTATTTCGTATGCGGAATCGCCTCCGGCGCTGTTGCTGCTGGCGGCAATAAAAGTTGTTTAAGAGTCAACAACGTCTCTCTGTCTCTCTCTCTGTCTGTCTCTTTGTCTCTCTTCTGAGAAGCGACCGTGGCTGGCCACGCGCGTTACTGACGGCTCAATGCGGTTGCTTATCGCCACATGGGAACTTCATAGCAGTCAAATGTAAGATTCATATCGGACGGGAAGGAAGCTCCAGACCCGCCCCCCCCATCCCGCCTCTCTCCTGTTGAGACATTTTGGGGAAACTCAAATCGCGAATCCGGATGTCCGTTATGTGTTTTCTCCCTCTGTGTCTCTCTGTGTGCCACACACACACACACAGGCGTCGATGTTATCCAAGGCCTGGGAACTTTTGAGGCAATTGCAAAATAACGCGGGCGAGATTATTATCCGCCGATGGCTGCCCCAACGCCCTCTTGCCCCCCCCCCCTTCACTCCCCCCCCTTCACTCCCCCCCCTTCACTCCCCCCCCCCTTCACTCCCCCCCTTCACTCCCCCCCCTTCACTCCCCCCTTTCGCCACGACGCTTGTGCCAGGCTAAGTGCACGTTGAGGCCACGTGAAGTGTCGAACGCCCGCTGGCAGGAGGTCACGTGACAGACCCAGCAGGTGCCACGGGTCGACTGACTGAGATGACTGGACGATGCACCACCTGTGCCCCCTACTGTGCCAACCTGCTGTGCTTTAGCCACCCGGCGCTCCACTCGTTGTTGTGAGCGTCGCTCCTCCTCCTACCGTTGTTGTTGGAGGGCGACTGCCTCCAACTGCCCAGTGGCAGCAGCAGCAGCAGCGTCCTTCACGAGCCAGGTAAGGCCCTACTGTGGTGTGTAGCTCGTATTCAGAAGCGACCACGAAGGTTGGCTCAGCGAAGTGGCTTACTGTCACGTGGACCATTTATAGCAGCCCAGTACTCTAAACGCGTTGTGATGTTGATTTCTAAATGTGGAGGGGAAACCCGGAGGAGCCGGAGACAACGCCACGCGATCACGGGCGGAGAGAGACACGCGAACTCCAAATATACAGCAGCAGCAGGCGTCAGGCTCGGGATGGAACCTACGACCTCCTGCATACCAGGCGAGGTAGTTAACATCTCCTAGCCACCGTGATGATGATGATGAGAGAGAGACACGCAGACTCCAAATACACAGCAGGCATCAGGGTCGAGATCGAACCAACGACCTCCTGTATACCAGGCGAGGTAGTTAACATCTCCTAGTCACCGTGATGATGATGAGAGAGAGACACGCAGACTCCAAATACACAGCAGGCATCAGGGTCGAGATCGAACCTACGACCTCCTGTATACCAGGCGAGGTAGTCAACATCTCCTAGCCACCGTGATGATGATGAGAGAGAGACACGCAGACTCCAAATATACAGCAGCAGGCATCAGGGTCGGGATCGAACCCACGACCTCCTGCATACCAGGCGAGGTAGTTGACATCTCCTAGTCACCGTGATGATGATGAGAGAGAGACACGCAGACTCCAAATATACAGCAGCAGGCATCAGGGTCGGGATGGAACCCACGACCTCCTGTATACCAGGCGAGGTAGTTAACATTTCCTAGTCACCGTGATGATGATGAGAGAGAGACACGCAGACTCCAAATACACAGCAGGCATCAGGGTCGAGATCGAACCCACGACCTCCTGTATACCAGGCGAGGTAGTTAACATCTCCTAGTCACCGTGATGATGAGAGAGACACGCAAACTCCAAATACACAGCAGGCATCAGGGTCGAGATCGAACCCACGATCTCCTGCATACCAAGCGAGGTAGTCAACATCTCCTAGCCACCGTGATGGTGATGAGAGAGAGACACGCAGACTCCAAATACACAGCAGGCATCAGGGTCGAGATCGAACCCACGACCTCCTGTATACCAGGCGAGGTAGTTAACATCTCCTAGTCACCGTGATGATGATGAGAGAGAGAGACGCAGACTCCAAATACACAGCAGGCATCAGGGTCGAGATCGAACCTACGACCTCCTGTATACCAGGCGAGGTAGTCAACATCTCCTAGCCACCGTGGCACTCCAAGGGGATGGGAGCTGCGGTGTGAGCACATGTCAGGCGCGGTTGTGTTGAGTTGTCTGGTGATGGGACTGTGTCGGCGGCGATGATGACGATGATGACGGTGGTGGTGGTGCTGATGATGGTGGTGGTGCTGATGATGATGGTGCTGATGATGGTGTTGATGATGATGGTGGTGCTGATGATGATGGTGGTGGTGCTGATGGTGCTGGTGGTGGTGCTGCTGATGACGGTGATGGTGCTGATGATGGTGGTGGTGGTGTTGATCATGATAGTGGTGGTGCTGATGATGGTGGTGTTGATAATGATAGTGGTGGTGCTGATGGTGCTGGTGGTGGTCCTGATGATGGTGGTGATGCTGATGATGGTGGTGGTGGTGATGGTGCTGCTGGTGGTGCTGATGATTTTGGTGGTGCTGATGATGGTGGAGGTGCTGATGGTGCTGGTGGTGGTGCTGCTGATGATTGTGGTGGTGCTGATGATGGTGGTGGTGTTGATAATGATGGTGGTGGTGCTGATGATGGTGGTGCTGATGATGCTGGTGGTGGTGCTGATGATGGTGGTGATGCTGATGATGGTGGTGATGGTGCTGCTGATGATGATGGTCGTTATGCTGATGATGGTGGTGGTGTTGATAGTGCTGATGCTGATGATGGCGGTGGTGCTGATGGTGCTGGTGATGGTGCTGTTGATGGTGGTGATGCTGATGATGGTGGTGGTGATGGTGCTGGTGGTGGTGCTGATGATGATCCTACCGCTGCCGTATAAATCCACCTCGTCCGAGAATCTCTGGAGTTCAAAGTCTGTATCCAGGCCCACCAGCTGCGTGAGACAAAAGACACACACAGACAGACACATCGACACAGACACAACGTGGACACGTGGCTGGTGCACACACAGAGACACAGACACAGCGTGAATACGTGATAGGTGCACACACAAAGACATCGACACAGACACAGCGTGGACACGTGGCTGGTGCACACACAGAGCCATCGACACAACGTGGGCACGTGATAGGTGCACACACAGAGACATCAACACAACGTGGACACGTGGCTGGTGCACACACAGAGACACAGACACAGCGTGGACACGTGATGGGTGCACACACAGAGACATCGACACAGCGTGAATACGTGGCGCGTGCACACACAGAGACACAGACACAACGTGGACACGTGGTGGGTGCACACACAGAGACATCGACACAGACACAGCGTGAACACGTGATGGGTGCACACGCAGAGACATCGACACAACGTGGACACGTGGCTGGTGCACACACAGAGACACAGACACAGCGTGAACACGTGATGGGTGCACACACAGAGACACAGACACAGCGTGAACACGTGATGGGTGCACACACAGAGACACCGACACATCGTGGGCACGTGATAGGTGCACACACAGAGACATCGACACAGACACAACGTGGACACGTTGTGGGTGCACACACAGAGACACCGACAGCGTGGACTCGTGGCGCGTGCACACACAGAGACACAGACACAGACACAGCGTGGACACGTGATGGGTGCACACGCAGAGACATCCACACAACGTGGACACGTGATGGGTGCACGCACAGAGACACAGACACAGCGTGAACACGTGGCTGGTGCACACACAGAGACACAGACACAGCGTGAACACGTGATGGGTGGACACACAGAGACACAGACACAGCGTGGACACGTGATGGGTGCACACACAGAGACACAGACACAGCGTGGACACGTGAAGGGTGCACACACAGAGACACAGACACAACGTGGACACGTGGCTGGTGCACACACAGAGACACAGACACAGCGTGAACACGTGATGGGTGCACACACAGAGACACAGACACAGCGTGAACACGTGATGGGTGCACACACAGAGACACCGACACATCGTGGGCACGTGATAGGTCCACACACAGAGACATCGACACAGACACAACGTGGACACGTTGTGGGTGCACACACAGAGACACCGACAGCGTGGACTCGTGGCGCGTGCACACACAGAGACACAGACACAGACACAGCGTGGACACGTGATGGGTGCACACGCAGAGACATCCACACAACGTGGACACGTGATGGGTGCACGCACAGAGACACAGACACAGCGTGAACACGTGGCTGGTGCACACACAGAGACACAGACACAGCGTGAACACGTGATGGGTGGACACACAGAGACACAGACACAGCGTGGACACGTGATGGGTGCACACACAGAGACACAGACACAGCGTGGACACGTGAAGGGTGCACACACAGAGACACAGACACAACGTGGACACGTGGCTGGTGCACACACAGAGACATCGACACAGACACAGCGTGGACATGTGGCTGGTGCACACACAGAGACACAGACACAGCGTGGACACGTGATGGGTGCACACACAGAGACACAGACACAGCGTGAATACGTGGCTGGTGCACACACAGAGACACAGACACAGACATAGCGTGGACACGTGGCTGGTGCACACACAGAGACACAGACACAGCGTGGACACGTGGCTGGTGCACACACACAGACACAGCGTGGACACGTGATGGGTGCACACACAGAGACACAGACACAGCGTGGACACGTGATGGGTGCACACACAGAGACACAGACACAACGTGGACACGTGGCTGGTGCACACACAGAGACACAGACACAGCGTGGACACGTGATGGGTGCACACACAGAGACACAGACACAACGTGGACACGTGGCTAGTGCACACACAGAGACATCGACACAGACACAGCGTGGACACGTGGCTGGTGCACACACAGAGACACAGACACAGCGTGAACACGTGGCTGGTGCACACACAGAGACACAGACACAACGTGGACACGTGATGGGTGCACACACAGAGACACAGACACAGCGTGGACACGTGATGGGTGCACACACAGAGACACAGACACAGCGTGGACACGTGGCTGGTGCACACACAGAGACACAGACACAGCGTGGACACGTGATGGGTCCACACGCAATGACCACTGATGATGGACAGACGGGCGTTGCTCGAGCTCATCATGATCACGTGCCCGTGTGTGTAGATATTTTTCAAAGTTTCACGGATGGTGAGTGTAGTGGTGAGTGTAGTGGTGAGTGTACAAGTGAGTGTACTAGTGGTGAGTGTAGTGGTGAGTGTAGTGGTGAGTGTGCTAGTGGTGAGTGTACTAGTGGTGAGTGCACTAGTGGTGAGTGTGCTAGTGGTGAGTGTACTAGTGGTGAGTGTGCTAGTGACGAGTGTACTAGTGTTGAGTGTACTAGTGGTGAGTGTACAAGTGAGTGTACTCGTGGTGAGTGTACTAGTGATGAGTGTACTCGTGGCGAGTGTACTAGTGGTGAGTGTACTAGTGGTGAGTGTACAAGTGAGTGTACAAGTGGTGTACTCGTGGTGAGTGTTGTGGTGAGTGTACTTGTGGTGAGTGTAGTGGTGAGTGTGCTAGTGACGATTGTACTAGTGGTGAGTGTACTAGTGGTGAGTGTACAAGTGAGTGTACAAGTGAGTGTACTAGTGGTGAGTGTACTAGTGGTGAGTGTACAAGTGAGTGTACTAGTGGTGGGTGTAGTGGTGAGTGTACTTGTGGTGAGTGCAGTGGTGAGTGTGCTAGTGGTGAGTGTACTAGTGGTGAGTGTACTAGTGGTGAGTGTACAAGTGAGTGTACAAGTGAGTGTACTAGTGGTGAGTGTACTAGTGGTGAGTGTACAAGTGAGTGTACTGGTGGTGAGTGTACTAGTGGCGAGTGTACTAGTGGTGAGTGTACTAGTGGTGAGTGTACAAGTGAGTGTACTCGTGGTGAGTGTACAAGTGAGTGTACTAGTGGTGAGTGTACTAGTGAGTGTACTAGTGGTGAGTGTACTAGTGGCGAGTGTACTAGTGGTGAGTGTACTAGTGATGAGTGTACTAGTGGTGAGTGTACTAGTGATGAGTGTACTAGTGGCGAGTGTACTAGTGGTGAGTGTACAAGTGGTGAGTGTACTAGTGATGAGTGTACTAGTGGTGAGTGTACTAGTGATGAGTGTACTAGTGGTGAGTGTACAAGTGAGTGTGCTAGTGGTGAGCGTACTCGTGGTGAGTGTACTAGTGGCGAGTGTCTATTTGTCTCTATTCCTCCCTTGTGATGGTGACTCTGTAGGGTGAACGTTGAGATTCATACGGGGCAACGTGGTGTCCAGTAAGGTCTGACTTGGTCTGTACTAAGGTAGGGGGCATTGACACGGGGTTGACGGCTGTGTTTGATGGGTGGGTGGAGGCGAAGACTTACAGACGACGCTGTACGAGGCAGCACGGACAGCGACGCTGTCAGCGCCGTGATTGTGGGGGGCTGTGGCGACGCATATCGGGTCGGAGCGGTGTTATTGTTCGTCAAGTGACGACGTAGTTGCGAAACGACGTAAAACGAGGCGCCACGTAAACCGGGGTCTTACCCTGTAACGGGATGAGCTTACTGCGTTCGCGTTAATATAAAAAAACATAAAGCGCCGATATTCCCATCACGTACAACACTGACACGTGGCGTGTATCTATCCAAATCCAAACGACTTCACCCAAGTACCTATGAAGGTAATATCCCACATACATATGGTATAATTATTATTATAAATGTGTGTACTGTATATATGTGTGTGTACCCTATATATGTGTGTACTGTATATATGTGTGGTTTACGATATGTATATATGTGTGTACTGTATATATGTGTGGTGTACGATATGTATATATATGTGTACCATATATATGTGTTGTGTACCCTATATATGTGTGGTGTGTACCCTATATATGCGTGTGGTGTATACCCTATATGTGTGTGGTGTTTACCCTATATATGTTTAAGGTGTTTACCCTATGTATGTGTGTAGTGTATACCCTATATATGTGTGTGGTGTATACCCTATATATGTGTGTTGTTTACCCTATATGTGTGTGGTGTTTACCCTATATATGTGTGTGGTGTATACCCTATATATGTGTGTGGTGTTTACCCTATATATGTGTGGTGTTTACCCTATACATATGTGTGGTGTTTACCCTATATATGTGTGTGGTGTTTACCCTATATATGTGTGTGGTGTTTACCCTATATATATGTGTGGTGTTTACCCTATATGTGTGTGTGGTGTTTACCCTATATATGTGTGGTGTTTACACTATATATGTGTGGTATTTACCCTATATATGTGTGTGGTCTTTACTCTATATATGTGTGTGGTGTATACCCTATATATGTGTGTTGTGTTTACCCTATATATGTGTGTGGTGTTTACCCTATATATATGTGTGGTGTGTACCCTATATATGTGTGTGGTGTATACCCTATATATGTGTGTGGTGTTTACCCTATATATGTGTGGTGTTTACTCTATATATATGTGTGGTGTTTACCCTATATATGTGTGGTGTTTACTCTATATATGTGTGGTATTTACCCTATATATGTGTGTGGTGTTTACCCTATATATATGTGAGGTGTTTACCCTATATATGTGTGTGGTGTATACCCTATATATGTGTGGTGTATACCCTATATATGTGTGTGGTGTATACCCTAAATATGTGTGTGGTGTTTACCCTATATATATGTGTGGTGTTTACCATATATATGTGTGTGGTGTTTACCCTATATATGTGTGTGGTGTTTACCATATATATATATGTGTGTGGTGTTTACCCTATACATATGTGTGGTGTTTACCCTATATATGTGTGTGGTGTTTACCCTATATATGTGTGTGGTCTTTACCCTATATATGTGGTATTTACCCTATATATGTGTGTGTGGTGTTTACCCTATATGTGTATGGTG